CCCTGAATCTGCACATAGCTTTCTGTGGCTGGGACGTTCCCATTGCGACGCCCTCTTCCCGAATAAACACCGTTTGCTTGCAGAGCGCATGCACTGCTCTTGGGGTTGGCAGTGCCCTCTCTGCCTCTCCCTACCTGATATCCTGGACGAAATCCGAAATCCGTCAGCGACTCCTGTGTGCTCCACCTCCCCGGATGAGTCCCCCATGCAGGGGAAGTGAATCCAGGGTGAGGGCTGGTGGGGGTCCCGACTGATAAGAGTCAGTGCTAGAGGGTCTGTGGGTACATCTGCTCCGGAAGGAGAAGGTTCCTCAGACGTCGTCACAGATGGAGCCCAAGGCAGGCATGAGACAATGGATCTGGCCTCTCTGGGATCCCTGAGGGGAGTGTCCAGATGCCCCAACCCACACGTTGCCCTACAGTGCCCAGAACCTAAGTGAGTGTGGAGGGGCACAGGTTTTGCATGCTGGGTGATGGGTTCATTTCCGGAGCCTCCTGCTACCACTACTGGTACCAGATTTACGCTGACCACTCCTGTACACCCAGCCAGGCTTCAGCTCTGAGCTCTGAGCCCAGGGCCGGAGGGCTGACATCTCAAACTTACAGTTACCAAGAGGGACCCATAGCTGGCAAGCCACTCTCCCTGCACCCCTTCACTTTCTCATCCCTGAAGGTGGCCACTGTGGGCACCCAGCTCCTCCTTTCCAATTCTTTTTTAATTTTTTTATTTTTGAGAGGAAGTCTCCCTCTGTCGCCAGGATGGAGTGCAGTGGCATGATCTGAGCTTGCTGCAACCTCCGCCTCCCAGGTTCAAGCGATTTCCTGCCCCAGCCTCAATCTCTTGACCTTGTGATCCACCCGCCTCAGCCTCCCAGAGTGCTGGGATTACAGGCGTGAGCCACCGTGTCCAGCCCTCAGTTCCTCCTTTCCATGCAGCCCACCCCCGATAGCCAACCACCTTGCCTCCTGCCAGCCGGCTGCGGGCATTCCTGCAGTGTGCCCCCTTCGCTCCTTCCACCCAGTGCCTGGGCTGCCCGGAGCCCTGGGGAAAGCAGCTGGTCCCCGGCCCCGCCTGTGTGGCTGCCCCTCCCGTCTGGCGTTTCCCACCTGCTGCGGTTTCAGCTGCACTGGCCTCTTGCTTTGCCTGCCCTGCTGTGCGTCCTGTGCCCCTAGGCCCCTGGCAGTCATGTTTCCACACTAATGTGTGCTGTCGAGACGTCTGGCACCCTCCTAGATGCTGAAGATTTGGCAGGGGGAGCAAGAGAGACACAGATTCCTGTACCTACGGCCTCGCTCTTCAGAGGCTCACGCCTACAGCACGCGGACGACTGCATGGTCAGATGCTTCCCCATGGGCTTGTCCTGCATATGGCAGGAGTTCTAGCAGCAACCCCGGCCTCTACCCACTAGAGCGTCTCCCCGACAGTCGGGACAACCCAGAATGTCTCCAGATACTGCCCAGTCTCCTGGAGGGCAAAACTGCCTCCCCTCCCCGCACTGCCCTTGAACGCTACTGGACACAATAAACAAGCCACAACTTCAAGAAAGTGCATAGTGAGAAGTGAGAAAAATGAAGATAGGGTGGGGTGCTGCTATGGCTGAATGCCTGTGTCCCCCCAAACTCCCATGTCGAAGGCCTGGCCTGGAGCATGCTGTGTTTGAAGACGGGGCCTCTAAGGAAGTAACTCAGGTTAAATAGTCACAAAGCTGGGGCCCCTATCCAGTGGGATGGGTGTCCTCCCAGGAATGAAGGGGCTCGGGCTGTCTCTGAGCACACACACTTGGCGCAGAACAAGGTTCTCACCCCAGGCGGAAGGGGCTGGCCCCTTGGTCTTGGACTTCTTAAATTTCCGTTGTCAGCTCCAAGGTCTGCGGTGTTTTGTTATGGCCACTCATACAGACTCAGACAGGTGGGCTGGCGTGGCGGCTGAGGACTCAGGGTGGGGGGAAGACACCAGCGAGCCGGGAGGTGGGAGAAGCCCTGGCCATCTGCAGGACCCGGCGGGTCTCAGCTGAGGGAGGCTTGCAGCCCAAGCCCAGCAACTGGGCAGGGGAGCGGGTGGGGCATGTTGGGAGAGGACAGCGCACTTTGAGGGCCCTCCCCCATGTCAGGGCTTACACTTCCATTGGAGGTGAGATGGACGCTGTGGAGCCTCGTGCACAGGGGCAGCAATGGATGTGGTCCCAAAGGCCCCTCTGCACTCACAGCAGCCAGGGGGCCCATCCACAGCCCCGTGGCGCCTGTGCTGCCCACAGAGGCAGGAGGATCGCTTGAGTCCAGACTGGGCAACATCGAGACTCCGTCTCTTAAAAAATCTAAGAATTGGCCGGGCGTGGTGGCTCATGCATGTAATCCAAGCACTTTGGAGGCCAAGGCGGGCGGATCACCTGAGGTCGGGAGTTCAAGACCAGCCTGACCAACATGGTGCAACCCCGTCTATAAATAAATAAATAAATCTAAGAATTAGCCAGGTGTGGCGGCACAAGGCACTCTGTCTCTTCAAAAAAAAGAGTCAAGGAGAGGACACTGCATTAAGTGAAATAGGCCAGTCAAGTCGCAGAAGGACAAACACTGAGGGTTCCGCTTAAGTGAGGGCCCCAGAGTGGCCGCATTCCAGAGAGGAAGCAGAGGCGGGGGAAGAGGATGGATCACGGGGAGTTACAGGTTAAATGAGGGCAAAGGTTTGGTTTGGGAAGAAGGGGAGAGGCCTGGCATGGCCGCACAGCCATGTGAGCGCGCTCAACGCCGCTGAGCCGCACGCTCGAAACTGGTTAACATGGGAAGTTTATGCACACTTTACCAGCACTTTAAAATAAAGGTCTCCTGACTGCTTCGTGGAGACTGGACCGCAGGGGGCTGGAGGCAGTGAGACAGTGAGGCTGCGACTCTGCAAGCCCAGGTAAGGGGCTGGGACCAGGGAGAGAGAGGCGCGGGGTGGAGAGGACTTCCGTGGCTCTGGGGTTGGCGCTGACAGGGTTTCTGGAAGGGTGGTTGTGGGCTCAGGGAAGAGGACGTGGAAAGGTGGGGGACAGGTATCGCCCAGCAACATGGGGCAGGCGGAGGGACAAATGGGAGGGAGGGGACCCTGACCCGGCAGGATCGGGCTGGACACGGAAACCGGCAGGCGCTGAGCGGCTGGAGAGGTGCGGGCCGCCGAGGGGCGCCAGGGGGAATCTCAGCCTGTTTGCCGGAGAGAACCCTGGGGTAGCGACTGTGCCTTGGGAGGAGGCGGCTGGGCGGGAGCAAAGGTGCGCGTGCGGCCCGAGGGTGCAGCGAGGTGCCCAGGAAAGGAGGGGAGAGGGAGTGCGCGGCCGTCGGTGGCCAGACTGGATGGTGGGACGCAACAGGCCCGCAGGCCCCGGGTGCCGGGGACGGGGAGAAGGCGCGCGAGGCGTGTTCGGGCCGGGGCAGTGAGGCGGAAGGCAGCCCGGTGCCATCCAGACCCTGGGGCAGCAGCGAACCCGAGACTCCTGGCGACCCCTACGGCACCGCTGTACGCAACACCGGCGCTCAATGCCCAGCCCGCCCCGCTTCTGGGGAGGCGTTTCCCTTCCCCGCGTGGACGCGGCCGTCTGTGGGCGGTGGGGGCAGGGGCGGTGGGGGCAGGGGCGGCGGGAGCAGGCCGACAGCGGGCGCGGCATGGGACGGATGGGGAGAAGGACGCCTGCGGCCGGGCGGGTCCTCGGAGCGCACGTCCCACCCAAGGCTCCGCGGCCGGCGACCACGCTGGACTAGCCCTCTGCGGCCCCCGCCCCACCAGGGGACCGCGACCGCCTGCTCCGGGCTCGGGGCTCCGGGTGAAGAAGAGCGCGGAGGTGCGCACTCGCCCAACACTCGGGACGGCCGCTGCCTCCCCGGCGTCTGGACCCCCGCCCGCAGCCCCCACCCGCCCCTCGGCCCCGCCTGCGTTTCTGCGCGCTGGGGATGGAGCGCACCCCTGAGGCTCCACCAGGTCCCGAAGCCCGGCGTAAGCACCACATGGAGGAGGGAGTGGCGGTCACGGGCACGCTCCCCCACCTCACCCCGCCGTCCCACCCCCGCTCAGGGTCAGGACCCTGCGTCCGGCCAGTGCAGGGGCGGCTCTGCCCGCGCGAGAAGCAGGAGCGTCCGCGGCCCCAGCTGTGCCGGGAACAGGCCCAGGGCTTCAGGATAGAGGGCGGCTCGCGCGGGAGGGGGCGCCCGAGGCTGGGGGTGCTGCGTGGCGAGCGGGGCGGCCTCCCGGGAGGGGTGCGGCTCCGCCCACCAAGAAGGGGACCTGGCGGGGGTGTGGCTCGTCCCGGAGCTCCCGGCCACAGCGCAGGTGGGGGGCGCCTTCTGCGGAGGCCGCGGGCTCGGTCGGCGTGGGGCTGGGACCATCCCTCCCAGGGGCCCGGGGCCCAGACAAGCACTTGCGGGCGCCCCCGGGGGCCACTGGCGGCACGCGGCTCTAAGGCCAACAGCCCTGAGTTCACCGGGCTGAAACTGGCGCAGAGGCCGAGGACCTGCGCTCGGGGCTCCCGGCAGGCGGCTCTCCGGGCTCGGAGGCCACCGGGAGGCGGGAGGAGGACCTTGGGGAGGCGGCAGCCGGGAGGGAAGGAGCAGGCTGGTGACCCCCTGACGCCCGAGGATCGCGGCGAGGCTGGGCCAGGGAAGGGCCGGCCGGGAGGGGACAGATCCCCGGAGCGGATTCCCCGGGGGCCAGTTTCCTCCTCCGCCGCCGCGACCCCGCTAGCCCGCGGTCGGAGGCCAGGCGCTTGCATGCACCGCTGCCGCCCCTCGCGAGCACCGAGAGGCTCCCTCGGATCGACCGCCACGCGCCGAGCTCCAGCCGCAGGTTTCCTACTCCCTCAGCTTTGCTTCTGCCGGTCTCGCTCCGGCGCCGCCTCCTCCAGGCAGCCCTCTAGACTGCATTGGCCGTGGGCCTGGACGCTGCTCCCGATGCAGCCCCAGGCCAGGGCGGGGCGCGCCCGATTCCCGGAGCGTCCCAGGTGCCTCTAAACCGGCAGCTCGCGCAGACTCGGGTTTCCATGACGACGACGTGGGGGGGACCCGGGCGGGGTCGGGTCGGAGCGCATGCGCCATGCGCGCGGGACGCGGAACGTCTCCCCGAGTCGCCCGCGCTGCTGGTCCCGGGGTCCCTGTACCGCGGTAAGGGCGGGGGTGCGGGCGTCCGAATGGGGGGTTTCGAGATCCGGGGCGCGGGCTGGAGGCTCGCTGGACCAGGGGACAAGCGTCCTCGGGCCGGGGAGCCGGGGGCGGGGCGGGGGCTCCGGGGCTCGGGGTGGGTGGGTCCGGGGCTCGCGGGCCTGCGGCGTGGACGCGGGCAGGGTGGCCCGCGGGGGGGACGGGGCTCACCGGCTCACGGGGCGGGCGCCGCTGACCCCCGGCTGGCTTCAGGGCGGCCCCGTTCCCTCCGCCGGCCATGGCCCCCCCGCCCGCGTGCCGGTCCCCGATGTCGCCGCCGCCGTTGCTGCTGCTGCTGCTAAGTCTGGCGCTGCTGGGCGCCCGGGTTGGCGCCGAACCCGCCGGGAGCGCCGTCCCCGCGCAGAGTAGGTGCGGGGTCCCGGGGTCCGGGGAGCGGGGCGGGGCCGGGGCCCAGCGGGGAGGACGGCGCCTCGCCTTTGTTCCCGGGGGCGGGTCCTCCCCTTCTCGGGAGATGGTGGCGTGGGGAGTGGGGACGTGCGCTCTGCGGCTCCGGGTAGACCGGCCTAGGGTTCGAGGGGACCTTGCGGGTGACCCCCTCTGCACCCCCTCCACCCTGGCCCGCGTTCCCTCAGGCCGCCCATGCGTGGACTGCCACGCCTTCGAGTTCATGCAGCGCGCCCTGCAGGACCTGCGGAAGACAGCCTGCAGCCTGGACGCCCGGGTGAGTGCCCGCGGCGCGACGGTCCTCCCGGGCTCCCCGGGGCTGGGGAGGGCAGGGAGGGTGCAGAGGAGGCCCCCTTGGGGAGTGGGGGGTCCCTCAGCCTTCACCCCTGATTTAAGACCCCGCATCTATGCCCCCTCCTCTGGCTGGCTCCAGTCATCCTGGGGCCACTCTGGACACCTGTCTTACGGATGAGACCCCCCCATCTCCAGCATGCTCTATTTCTAGCCCCTCCCCCAGAAGGCCCTCACCGGGCACTTTGTCCTGTGAGCGCCACTCCTGAGGGCTGTGACAGACCTGGTCCCTGGGGAAGGACTATCAGCCCAATCCAGGATCTTCTAGGTGGGCAGCGAGGCCCTGGGACAGAGGAGAAACTGAGGCCAGGAAAGAGGATGTGACCAAAGTGTCAGGAATGGGGGTCAGGCTGGGAAGGGTGGCGTGGATCTTGTGTGGATGCACAGGTTGGCTAAGGCCCCCTCCAAGCCTGGATGAACAGGGGACCCTCAGGCCATGGGTGCAGCTACAGAGTTCTTGTTTGTGCTGGGGTTTGTGCTTCTTCCTGGAAAGGGAGAATTCCAGGAGGGAGAGAGCAGGGAAGACCCTGCCGGGTCCCGCCCCCACAGCCCCAGTGTCCTTGGGAACTCTCCAAAGGGCTCGGATTGAGACATGGAGCCCTCTCCCCCTCATGGAGCCTGGAGCTGGGCTTTTGGGAGGAGCAGCCCCCACCCATCCTTAGGCATGAGGGTGAGAGGGAGTGGGAGACAGCGGACCCCTGCGAGTGCTGTGGGAGCTGGAAGAAGGCAGGTGGGCACTCAGGTGTGGTGTGGGCACCCGCAGACCGCAGGCAGGCCCCGCCAGTGGGAGCCAGCGCAGAGGGAAGGGAAGGCCAAGAGAAGGCTGGGAGGCTCTGGGTGTGGGGGTTAGAGCCAGGACCTCACGTTGTCTGTCTCAGGAGCAGGTGGAGATAGGGCTGCCTTGGGTGGGCGGGGGCCCTGGGGAATGTCCGTGGGCCGCTGGGCTGCACCCTCACACCTCTTGTTGCTTTGCAGACGGAGACCCTCCTGCTGCAAGCCGAGCGCCGCTCTCTGTGTGCCTGCTGGCCGGCCGGGCGCTGAGGACCGTGCTGCTCCCTGTCAATAAATGCCCAGCGGCATGCGTGTGTCCTGTCTCCCTGCTCTGGCCACCATAGCCCCTGCGTCGTCGGCCACAGCAGTCCTGGGTGGGGCCCCTCTCTGGGCTTGGGTTTCCCCAGCTGTTTCACCTGGGCAAGCCCTCTTGGTTGTCCCACACCAGCGCCCATGCGGAGAGGTGGACACACATGTCCGTCCACAGCGCCCTGTGCTTCCTCAGACCTGCTCCCCTGCCTGCCTGCCCTTGTTTTGAGGCTGGAGAAATGTAGAAATCAGCCTGAGCCCCCTGAATCCCCAGAGCAGCTGCCCCAGGGCTGAGCTCCTCCAGGGTCCTGCACCCTGAGCTGGTGGACCAGGCTGCCTGAGGCTCCTGGGGAGAGAGGACAGGGCCACTCCCCACAGCCTCAGCTCCGCTGCCAGCTCCCACCTGCAGCCCTGAGCCTGGTTCCTGGCCACCGGGGAGCCCTGGATGGGAAGTTGATGTGGCGGCGCTCCCATCCACACACCTGTGCACACGGCACACAGACCTGTTCACACAGGCCTTCAGGTGAAGCGGACACCTCCCCCTTTCCATTCATTCTGTAAATGCTTTTTCGGTAAAAGTAGAGCCTTTTATTGAAGCCATACAGGCACATGGTTAGAAACAAAATCATGGCAACAGCAGGCTGGAGGTGACTGCCACGTGCCCTCAAGACTCGGCCGCTGGGGCTTTGGTTCCTTGGCCCTGGCGCCTCAGCCTGGCACTGGTGGAGCTGGATGTGCCTGGTATCTGCAGTGAACAGAGTCCTCCCTTGGAGCTCGCACACCTGGAGCGACTGAGTCAGGTGTCAGGAGGATGTCTCTCCCCTCTAATGCAGGCCAGGGAGAGCAGGGGTCTGAGGTCACTGCAGGCCCCAGGCAGGGTAAGGTGTAGGGCAGGAATCAGCACCTGCTCAGAGGTGGGGAGGCTGAGCCTTCTCTTTAGGGGTGTGGCCTGGGCAGTGCTCACATCCCATTGGTCAGTCTTTCTCATGTGGTCTTTCTAGCTGCAAGGGAGGCCAGGAACGTACCTTATTTCTAGGGTTAGATTGCCAGATTTGGCCAGTCAACTCCAGGAACATCCAGATTCTTGTCTATCCCTGCAGTGTTAGGGATTTCTCCCACTACATATTGTTTATCCAAAATTCAAATATAACTGTGTCCTATGTTATGGGCAGCAGTGAGCCTGGCACAAAGTGAGGTCTCCACCACTAGAAAAGACGGGTTCTGGAGCACACTTGTCACGGAGCCCTGGGGAGGCACCCTCGGATACAGTGGGGGCATGAGCCAGGCTCGGTTGTGGGGTGCTGGGTGAAGAGGCCTCCCCCTAGTCCTTGTGGGGCTGGGGTAAGGACAAGGTTTGGAGACAGGAGCTTCTGGCTGCGGGTTTGCAAGGGACTTGCGAGACTTATGAGGAAGTGATGGCAGTCGCACTGTGGAGAGCGGCCCCACGGCAGCAGAGGCCACTGGATTCCAGGTGTGTTTGCAAGTAGAGCCTGTGGGATTTGAGTGGGGGGTGGGAGTGGTCGGGGGGTCCGGGAGGCCACTGGGCAGGTATGCCTGGAAAAGGAGCTGGAGAGAGAAGGCTGGGACCCCCGTGGCCTGTTCGGGGACAGAGGAGAGAAGAGGGCCCTGAGGGGCAATGAGCAGCTGTGAGGCAGGAAGAGAACGGAGCTGTGTCCGGGCAGCCACAGGTGTGTCTCATGCCCCTGAGGCCCAGTAAGGCCCAAGAGGACGACAGGGTCCATGAGGGGCGGGGAAGGCCTGAGAGGAGCAGAGGAGAGGGAACTTGACTTTAAGCGTGGGCAGGGCCAGTACCATTCACGCTCAGTCCTGGAGCCACAGTGCAGCTTTCCGGCCAGGGCTCAGCAACTCAGGGATGAGTCAACCCTGGCATGGCTGAGCAGTGACCTGGCACTGCAGTCTCTTTCTGGGACACCTTTTTTTTTTTTTTTTTTTAGACGGAGTTTCGCTCTTGTTACCCAGGCTGGAGTGCAATGACGTGATCTCGGCTCACCGCAACCCCCGCCTCCTGGGTTCAGGCAATTCTCCTGCCCCAGCCTCTTGAGTAGCTGGGACTACAGGCACGCGCCACCATGCCCAGCTAATTTTTTGTATTTTTAGTAGAGACGGGGTTTCACCATGTTGACCAGGATGGTCTCGATCTCTTGACCTCGTGATCCACCCGCCTCGGCCTCCCAAAGTGCTGGGATTACAGGCTTGAGCTACCGTGCCCAGCCGTGGGACACGTTTTCTTTTCCTGGACCTGATGTTTGCCTGGTCTTCCCACATTCCACCCTTATATCTGTGCCCTCTCCAGCATCAGGGCATCCCCTCGGTCCAGGGCCTCTCCCTGTGTTCCCTGCCAGGCCCTGCCCTCCTCCTAGCCAGCTGGGCATCCACACTGCCCACCTGCACTCTGGCCTGGAGCCACCTTTCTCTAGATCCTCTGTGCTCTTCTCCCTGCTGCCATGTGGAAAAGCATGTGGGAAGGACACTGCATCCACCTGTCTAGAAGGCAGCTGCTGCCACAGTCCATTTGCAGGTCTCCTCCTACCGCGCGGCCTCTCATGCGCCCTCAGCACCGACGCATCCCTCGCCCCTGACCAGACTCACTCTGCAGCCCTGTGTCTCTCCTTAATTAATTAATTAATTTTTGAGAGAGGGTCTTGCTCTGTCGGCCAGGCTGGAATGCAGTGGCCCAATCACAGCTTCCTGCAGCCTCAACCCCACGGGCTCAGGCAGTCCTCCCCACGGCCTCCTGAGTAGCAGGGCCCACAGCAAGGGTGCCCTGGCCCACAGAGCCCAGACAGGGCCTGTAGCGGGGTCCCCAGCGCCTGCCACTGCACCAGCCATGCCTTTTCTTCGAAGTGTTTGTTCCTAAGGGGTCCTGGGGTGTTTGTCTCTGTTTCTTTCCTGTCAGCCCACCATGCCACACTGGCTTGTGCAGCCCAGGAGGGTGAGAGCTGCACTCCAGCCTGGGCTACAGAGCGAGACGCCACCTAAAAGACTGACAAAAAAAAAAAAAAAAAGGAAAAAATATATTGATATAAGAGTTCAAAATTACTTCCTAGCCTTTTCATGTAAACTGAAGCTGCTGACTTAAATTTGTAGTTAATGCATTCTGGGAGGCCGAGGCAGGCAGATCACTTGAATCCAGGAGTTCGAGACCAGCTTGGGCAACGTGACAAAACCCTGTCCCTATACAAAATACAAAAATTAGCCAGGCATGGTGGTGCGTGCCTGTAGTCCCGTCTATTTGGGAGGCTCAGGCAGGAGGGTCGCTCGAGCTTGGGAGGCAGAGGCTGTAGTCAGTCAAGATCACATCGTTGCACTCCAGCCTGAGCAACAAGAGACCCTGTCTCAAAAAAAATTGTAGTTAATATATGCAATTAAAACTACTAGAAAGGCCTGTGCGGTGGCTCATGCCTGTAACCCCAGCACTTTGGGAGGCCGAGGCGGGTGGATCACAAAGTCAGGAGTTGGAGACCAGCCTGGCCAGCATGGTGAAACCCCGTCTCTACTAAAAATACAAAATATTAGCGAGGCATGGTGGCGGGCACCTGTAATCCCAGGTACTCGGGAGGCTGAGGCAGGAGAATTGCTTGAACTTGGGAAGTGGAGGTTGCAGTGAGTTGAGATGGCGCCTTTGCACTCCAGCCGAGACTACAGTGCGAGACTCCATCCCAAAACAAAGGAACAAACAAACATAAATCTTATACTGAGGGAACAAACAAAAACCACTACTAGCTATGAAAGAAGCAATTCTGAACACACAGCATGTAAGAAAAATAGCTTATGTTTTTGGCAAATATGATAAGGCATGAGAATGTGATTTTCGTTACAGGAAGAATAAATTGGTCTAGAGGTTTTTAAAGATTAAGTTGAAGGGATAGAAAAGAATGACAGATAAAAGTGAATGGGTGTAGAAAGTCATGGGAAGAAAGAGAATGGGGGAAAACTGGGAGAGGTTATAAAAGATTTATTGGCTGGGCATGGTGCCTCATGCCTGTAACCCCAGCACTTTTGGAGGTTGAGGTGGAGGGTCACTTGAGACCAGGAATTCCAGACCGGCCTGGACAATGTGGAGAAACCTTGTGTCTCTCTGGAAAAGAAAGAAAATAAAAGAAAAGAAAAAGAGGAAGAGAGAGAGAAAGAGAGAGGAAGGAAGGAAGGAAGGGAGGGAGAAAGAGGCAGGAAGGTTGATGGACATCTCGCCTTGCATATTTAAAGCTGGTTGGGTTGGAGGGATTGGTGTTCTGTGCCTGCAGCCCTCCTCTGTCTTCTGGACTGTGGGATGCTCAGGTGGGATAGCAGAAAACCCATCTGCAAAGCTAACACCAGCTTCAAACCCTCCCGGGCTGAAGGTGCTGCCACTGTGGTGCTTAGCGTGGGATCTACCCTGTCTGGAAAATATCAGCTTTCTCTCTTTGAAAGAACACCCGGAGGGCGCTGTGCCTAGAGGAAGGAGCCTACAAACCAGCTCCCCTTAAAGGTGATATTCTTCATTACTGCCAAGACCCCACAGAGCTTCTCCATGCACATTCTAAATTAATTAAGGATTCTTGAACAGCAAGTTTCCAGGAGGTGAAGACATCAAAGATCAAGGTCTCCAACCTGGAGATTTTATGAGAAAGGCATCAAATATAGGACTTCCTCCAACCACAATAGATGGGACCACACCAGGCAGCCTTGCGGGAGAGGATGTTTTCATCACTGGAGAACTTCCACACCTCGTTCTTCAGGCCAGGACCAGAAGGAAACAAAATAGGTATCTGGTTACCTTCAGAAATAGCACTCTTCAGTTCTGGATTTCAAATTGTTAAAAGTTGCCCTTATTTGTGCCACATTTTCATTCTTTTTTTCTTTTTTTGAGGCAGAGTCTTGCTCTGTTGCTCAGGCTGGAGTGCAGTGGCGTGATCTCGGTTTACCACAACCTCTGCCACCCAGGTTCCCGCGATTATCTCGCTTCAGCCTCCCAAGTCGCTGGGAGTACAGGTGCCTGCCACCATGCCCGGCTAATTTTTGTATTTTTAGTAGAGGCGTGGTTTCACCATGTTGTCCAGGCTGATCTCAAACTCCTGACCTCAAGTGATCTGCCCGCCTCGGCCTCCCAAGTGCTGGGATTACAGGCGTGAGGCACCGTGCCCTCAGCGGGATGCTAGCTAGCTGCTCAGAAGCTGCCCAGCACGTGTGGCTGGCTCCTCGGGATCAGATGGCCTGGCAGACCCGGTGCCAATCCACTTGGCCTTGAGGCCTCATGATGTCTGAAGCACCCACCACACCTCTCCTCTTCCCCACCCTCTCGGGGTGAGATGGCCCGGGAATGAGCCTTCCCAGCAGAAAAACACATCAGAAGAGAAAGATTTTGATCAAAGACGAGAAATGAGAAAAGAAAAACAGCCTAGAGCAGCCTGAGCACCCAACGATGGTCTGGCCCAGAGAGACCTGAGTATGGGACTCCAGTCGCCTGCCTCCCGTGCCCGGGCAAGTGTTTGAAGGCATTTTCTTGTTTCCTTTCTCTCCTGTAGTGTCCGCCTGGCTGCCTCGGCATCATCTTCATGTTCCTGGAATTTGTGACACAATAACAATGAATACCAATCAATATTGCTTATGTGATTTCAATGCAAATTCTTGGTGAACTTCGGAGCTGCGTCTTCACTTTTCCTTTAAAAACGCACTTGTAACTGCGGTGGGTGAGCGCGAGTGCATTCAGAGCAACTCGAGTCTGTGCTTCCAGGCTGCAGTCCTCAAACTTGGCCCCAACAAACTCTACTTCTATTAGTTTTGCCTGTTCTCTCCTTTAGATTGAAAAGCTGACAGCAGGCCCCAGACATGGAGGGGGCGCCTTCCCTGCTTGTCTTCCCGACGCCCCCCCACCCCTCGCTCCTCGCAAGGGCCGGTTCGCTTGCTGGCGGGGCAGTGGATCAGTTCAGCCGCCCCCCCACGCCACCAGGGCGCTGCGGCCCCACTCCCACGTCCACTGGCAGGCCCGGCCCCTCTCGGCCGCCAGGTGACCTCAGCCGCCCCACTGGCCCCAAGTCCACCGCACAACGCAGGCTGCGCGTCCCCAGGCCTGGACGCCTGGACCCCTGGCCCCGTCCCGCCTGCTCAGCTCGGACAGCCTTCGGGTGGTGCTGGGAAGGGGCGCAGAACTGCAGGGCGCTGGGTTCGCGAAGCGCCGAGGACCGGGTCGGCGGCCGCCTCCCCACCTGAGCTCCTCCGCCCCAGCCTGCGGCGTCTGCAGGTCCCTCTCGGCGGGGAGCCCCCGCTGCACCTGCACCGAGGCCACGGGGCGCATGCGCGGCCGCGGGGGGCTGGGGCCTGGCCGGGAGGGGTCCTGCGGGCCCCGCATCCCCGCGCCCACTGCGGGACTCCCACTGGGGGGCGTCGCGCCAGGCCGCAGACCCCGCCCTTCTGCGTCCCCACTCCAGTGACCCGTGCGGCTCCGGACAAGGCTTCCCGGGGGCTCTGGGCCGGGGCAGCCTCGGCGCCCCCTCCCCGGGTCCACCGCAGGCGCCGCGCTCAGACAAAGGCGGGAGACGGAGGGGGCGACGCTGCCGTGACTGCTCCGGGCGGCCGCGGAGGAGGAGGAGGAGGAGGACTTGGCGGTGTGGCCGCCAGCGGCCGGGCCAGGGTCGGGGAGCTCCCAGGCGCGCGGCGTGGGAGCGGGGGGCGGGGTGGGGTGGGGCGGGGCGGGCGGCGCCCATCACGCGCTCCGCGGCCCAGTCCCGAGCCCCGCCGGGCACCCCCCGGGCCGGGCGCCCCCGCCCCCGCCCTCACCCGCTCCCCTCGCGCGGCCCGGCCGCCCTGTCGCGCCCCGCAAACCACCCGGCGGGTGCGGGCGGGGGCGGCATCTGCCCCCACCCCCACGATCACATGGTGACCCCCGGCAGCCAATGCAGTGGACGCTAGGACCCTGCGGGCCGCGGGCGCCGCGACTGCACCGGCGCCGCCGCATTATAAATACTTCTCCAAAATGCGGCGCAGCTCCCTGCGCGCGCCCCGGCCGCCCGCCGCCTCCGCCCCGCGCCCCTGAGCTG